TTCATTGCAGGCTCTCTTTCCCGCTATTCCGATTTTTATGTGGCAGTTACCTATGCATTCAAGATAAAGCGTTAGTTTACAATGTTAAGATAACAAAAAGAAATAAAAACATGACTAAGCCATTAATTAAAACATAGCATCACCTGGTTTCTCAGATTGTTTTACCTGCAGCGTGCTTACCTCCACATGCTCAAGCGTCTTGCTATCTTTCAGCCTTTTAGAAAACCTGGAAAATAGTATATTCTACTATTATCTTGTGAGATTTTCTTTTTTTTCCAAATTAAAAAATGACTCACAAACTTAAGATATCGAGATCCATTTGACCGGTCTGTCCTACAGTTTTTGCCGTATTTTGAAGTGCGTGCTCTCTCTGAAGAAATTTCTAAACATAATTTCTAAATAAATGTTTATTTTTACTTCTAGAAACAAAAATTTTCTTCATTCCTTATTTTTTTACGGAATTTAAGAACCTTTCCTCGATATGGACAAAAGGTCAGTGGCAAAATATAGAAGTCAAACGAGGAACATTTTGTATATAACATTGTGCACTTTAGCTGGCCTATTCACACCGTTAAATATATTTATATTCTTACAGTTCGCAGGATTCCACGCGGCTTCATATAACTACGTTTCTGCTGTACGTCGACCTCAGAAGTAGAAAACATTCTTGGTTGTGATATCAGATTGGTCTTCGTGAGTGTACGATTAGTTTTAAAATTATTTTGACAACCATCCGATGTTTGAATAAATGAAGAAGCCGATTGAGGTGGAATAAAAGACACAGGAAGAGGTCTTTCATGAAGTATCGGATTTATCACAGGATTTCTTAAAAACCCTGAATAATCTGGAGGTCGAGTAACGGTAAGATCAAGTGGGGATAACTGTCCACAAGACACATCTGCAACACATTGAAAAAAATGTAAGAGATGTTGCACACAACACAGATCTAAACACGGAAGTCCATGATAAAAGTGCTTCTTCTTTACATTTGACTACAAAATTATTAACAATGTTTTTGCAAAAGCTCAATTACATACCATGAATTTTTGAGGAATTATTAGGACCAGCTGGAAGGCTACTTCGAAAGACTTTTGGTTGTTTCTGAGTCGCCGACATCTAAAATTATTTATTTTTGAGGATCACAGTAATAAATTGCTTGCCTCTGTTCAGTGAGGATTACATATAGCACAGCACAAAAGGTTCAAAGTTTTAAAGTATAAATCAGTTGCAATGCTAAGTTTCAAGAAAACTATTTGAACATATCCTCATACTTGCCAAAGATAACGATTTGACACTGTAACTTATTGAAACACGAAAAATATATTTGCAAAATACAGACTGTCCAGTGAACAATAGAAATTATGTGACGATTAGCTTTCATTGCTTAGTCTTCATTCATGCCACTTTGCTCCTACTCAGATATGTATACATTGAATAATGGATTAATTTAAATGATTTTGGCAATCGTCAAATGAAAAGTTACTGGGTCTTGAGTCTTATCCAGTAGCAATTTTGGTCTACTTTCAGTAGACACAATATGCTTTGTCGATTCGAAAAACATATTCGAATTCACTGTCCCTAAAATTAATTATAAACTCCTGGAATTCTGACTTAAGAGTGGATTAGAAATGATTTAGAACTTAGACATATGACTAACTCGGACGTTGCTGATGGTTCTTGTTTCCGCACATTTATTAGTGATTTAAATAAAATCTTCTGGCTTAATTTATTCACTCTTTTTGTTGGAAAAGTATTCATTCAAAAAATAGTTTTAAGAAATAAGAACAGGAATAGCTTCAAGTAAAACAATTTATTATAAAGATAATGAAGTATTACCGAAAGCAGAATTTCGAGACGGACCAGATTCCGTTTGAGGATAACTTGGTGTACGTTTCTGAAATCAACCAAAATCAACAAAAGAACATATAATAAAATAGAAAATCTAGCATAACTGGAAAAGCTGTATCTCACCGGATAGAATGTATGAAGCGATAGAGTAATATTTATGATAGAATAATATACACAATTTACAAGAAAAACTGTAATATGTAAATTTCACTTCCTTTATTTTTACCATTTTCGGATCATCATTAATGAGAGCTGAAATACGAGTTTTATCAGTTATTTTCACCGGCAATTTCTTTTGTTTCTTTTGGGTATCTTTAGTGGTCTTTTCAGGTGGTTTCTGAAATTCATATTGGTAAACATAGTTTGAAACATTCAAATGCACCATTTAGTGCTGCACTTTGACTTGATCAGCATACTTTTCAGTGCAATCTTAATTCCAGACGCAAAAGGCTGAAGCAAAAATATTAAAAAAGACTTGAACTATGTTTTTGTACTGAGTTAGCAATATTCAGAGGAGAGCAAACGTCACTTTGTCTCAGAAAAACTTTCTTTTATTCTAATGGTGACTAGGTCAATGGCATATAAAGGAAAGCTTTCATTACATTCTTCTTTTTCATTTCCTGTTCCAAAAGCATTTGTTCTTTTAGCCGCCATGCTGCTTGTCTTGCTGGTGTAACGGCACGTTTCCTTCTTATTGCTTTTGGTCCAGATTCAATATCTATAATAATTTCAATTAATAACTTCCCATAATGCAACTTTAATTGTCTTGCTGAATAATATTAAATGCAAATAAAAAAATTAATTTAGATGTATAAATCGAAACGAAAAAATTACATTAGAGGATAACCTGCATCTCTTCCAGATCATTTAAATTTATTATGTTTATCATGTATGTATTTGATAAATTAAAAAAATTAACATAGACGTTTTACCTTCCATCTGATGAATTTCAGGCGATCTTATTATGGATACATGAATCTGGTCATCATCCAGAGAATTATGAAAGCCCATTCCATCTATAACTGAATAGTGAAGTAAAGAAAGCAATTACAGGCGCTGATGGCGCAAATTTTTTAATCATAGGTGGTTTTGAATCATCACAACTCTAAATTCTGAATTATGACATCTTTAAACTCCATTTTTTTAAATACCGCGAGCACTACAGGGAATTTCCTTGGATGTACATCAACAGATAAAACGTATGACTGATACTTAGGTTTAACCTGTGGATATTCATAATCAATAAACCAAAAGCTACTCTTTTATCAAGAGATATAGTATATTCAATACACCAAGTGCACTAGGACGGTGTTGCGATTCGACCAATAAAAAAAGGTTAGATTATAAAACGTTAAGACAGTCCCATATTTCTAAACTGGTGATAAAGAATTTTTTAATTTAAATTATCATCCTTTTAGATTAGAGTTTGATTCATGAAATTAAGAAATCTAGGTAAAAAATAGATAGAAATGTTTTTGCCACGCTTTCATTTTAAAAGATATTTCAAAATATTTATAAAAAATCACCGAGTGAGCACTGAACATCCGACTCTACACTTGTAACACCACCATTAACTTCAGTTAATTCACTTTCTCGTTTGGCTGAATAATGAGAACAATACAATAAACTGGAGAGAAATTATTTCCTTAAATACTTTCCTGTATTTTTTCTTTTTGATTAAAAAGTAATATTAATTAGCAATTTCGTTCCTAAATTTTGTCACCTCTTTTAACACAACACTGCACTGCCAACAACTTTGCTCGGTCCAGCACTGTCAAACTTTCCAAAGCGTTCTCCGAACATTTTAGCAATTTTATCTGAAAATTTATTTGCAAACATTCATTAAGCTGTGAATTAACGGAGCAAATTATAAATTTAGGAGACTAAATAAATAAAAACGAAAAGAAATGATAACTTTTATGAAATCTGAACACTAATGCTGATTGAACTGCCGGATGATATACAGAACAGTGTCCACAAAAAATATAAAATTAAAAAAAAAAAGATCCCCTCACTGTTATCATTTTATAAGTGAAAAATACAAAAGTATTACTAATTTCAATTAACCTTTTTGCCTCGACGCTTGCAAATCGCTAAATGACGGAAAATCTGCAATACAGTTCCAAACTGAGCTGTGCATCCCCTAGCACCACAGGCAAACAACGCCAAATCAAGGTGTTTCTGACAAAAGTGTTCCTCGAAATCATCATAAGTATCAAACGTCTCCTTGCATTCCCCACCATCTACAGTCGCCAGACACCAAAGCTCCTGAAAATATGTTGACCTATGTCCAACATATTCGTATATAATATTGCCTTCCTTATCAATGTACAACCTTAAATTGGTTCTAAAAACAGGAGGGAATAGAGGAAGATATAGATTTTGTTAAAAATTATAAAAGAAATGAAGATAGGGAATGAAATGAAATTGAAATCAAAATGCATATTTAAAACATCCAAAAATGAAAAAGTAGTAAAAGAAGTTAGAAATAATACGTGAGCAACTCACCGAACAATCGTTCATTTTATCGCTCTAATCAACTTCTTGAGAGACTGCAACAAATACGATACAAATATGATGTAGAGAAACTGCAACAAATATGATAGTGAAATATATGAAATATATCCGAGTGTACTGATGTCAGATTATGCGCACGAACCTATGACTGAATCTACATTTTTTCACATCATTTAAACCCATTCTTAACATGCTTTATCATACTGATAAAATCAGAATAATAACTGTGTATTTCTACCAAAAGTTACTAACAACTGGTTGGATTGCCTTCCATAACAGAATGTATGAAATGTATAATATTAGATATTAACTTACTGAACTATCCTACTATGTGTATGTGCAATAATTGAACTACCCTACTAACTACGTGTGCGTGCAATAACTGAACTCTCCTACTGACTATGTGTACGTGCAAAAACTGAATTATCCTACTGCCTACGTTTACGCGCGACAATCAATTATTCTAACGCACACTGTCTGTGTTTAAATGATTCATTCGATAAAATACACAAATATGCATATTAGAGAGAATGCAGAAATATGCATATTAGAGATATTTTAATGAATACATTTTTTGGCTTACCAAAAAAAAAACGTACGACGAATATAACAACCAAAAATTCTTACCGTAATGATCCCGAATATCTAAAACTGACGTGAAACATCCGTTTTGTTTTGTTTTTTTTCTTAATCTAATTTCGTGAAATCTAAGATGAAAAATTTTTCACTTCCTGTACGTTACAATAACTGAATTGCTCATGGCTTTGTTTACAATGATAAATAATAATTCATGAATGGGAAAAGAAGAAAAATCATGTAACCGGAATCCTAACATTAACAATGACATTATGAATAACAATAAGGGATGAAAAATTGAAGTAAATTGAAATCAAATTTGTGAACATCGCTTAAATGATAACTGAAGAGGAATGGAAACAGAGGATTGGCATCTGGGCGGATCAAAAATGGAAAACTGATAGGAGAAGTAGCTGTGAGCGATTACCGTTATTGTCACTCTCACAGAAAGATGGGAATATGAAGCAATGAAATGAGTCAGTGATTGGGTGTTTCAGTGATAAATGTCCTTCTGAATTATATATTTAAAGGCAGTAAATTCTATGATTATCATGAGAATTAAACTTCCTGTTTTTCTATGCTATCCAATGATTTAATTTTTTCTGAATCAATATTGTTCTCCCGAGTAGAACGAAATACTTTGGTATTATACATTGAATGGAGATGAATTTTATTTGACGAATGGAGATGAATTCTTGATGAGGTGAAACAGTTGACTGGTATCTTTCATATCATAACAGTGAACAATATCAATAATATAAATCGGAATTAAAAACGGTGTGAGATGTGAAAATAGAAGAAAAACGCATCGAATGAATTCCATCAACTGAAATTTAATGTTTGCCTGAAAAGGAAAATAATTTATGATATAAATGTATTTAAATACTTAAATCATCATATAAGATAAAATCAAATTAATCACTTATTCACATTTTTCTATCCAATTCTCAAGTTTATATCTATAATACAGTAGGATTGCTCATGGGAGTGTAGTGCCTGTGCAATGTTGAAATGTTTGAACAATTTCACAATACAAAGGCCTGTTATCAACCAAAAGGTTAAAGGATAACTTCTTTATTTCTTGCATGCTTTTTATTTTCTTTTGCTTCATTTCATACTTAAACGTTAAAATTTATGTCAATGTAATTGTTTGACGAATAAAATCTGTTACTGTAAACTCCTTCACATAAGACATTCGATCATAGCTAAGTATAAAGAGATTTCAATAACAAAAAAAATAATGGATTGCAAATTTTAAAAAAACGCATTCCAAATAACTTCACACACCTCAGTTATTACTACCTAAATTAGTGTCGTGAAATTTTTGATATGAGTATTTGGTTGTTTCACGAACAAAGATTGTTGTAATGGTTTATTCTTTGTGGAAGATTAGTGATAATATTACATGACAATATCAATAGACGAAGATTTCTCCCTGATTATTGATGACTGAAGTAATCGTTTCAAAGTTTGAATGAGATTCGATGAGTCGCAGTCCAGAGAAGTACGGTCGTTAAGCTGTGAAAGCGAAACTTCTCCATCGAGAGTTTAACAGTAATGAATTCTAATTTCTTATATATTGGGTAATTTACAAAGGCATATCATGATATAATCCTATCGGAAATAAAAATCGCTATATGGATAAGAGAGCTATTTTACGTTTTACAACAATTTCACCATTAAATATAAACTTGAATGGAAGAATTTGCATGTGAATTAATTCACTAGATGTTAAGAATGCAGGTTTGCCAGATGCTTAAAACATAAAATTCAGACTAAAAGGATTTACATATGAACTGAATAAATGATCTAACTGGAACAAATTTCTAAAATACAAGCATTTTGATTATTTAGATACAAAAATTGTTTTATAAATTTATTTCGGTTTTCCCGGCAATTGGATTATTTATCCCGGCTAAAGAGATGGTGATAATTTTAATGCAATAAATGGGCAAAGTTTTCAAATATTTACAAAATTAGTTGTTTAAAGAAGGATGCATTATAAGTCATTTAAGGCTACATTTGTCATGAGAACGTGATTAACAATTTATTTTTCAATCAATCATTTTAAACGAAATGACTGCGAACTGAACACGAATTTAGAAGTGTGTGAAAATATGTTAAAATGATTGAGAGCATGGAAGAGAATATAGAATAAAGATGTGCAGAATTGACAGATAACTTATATGTATCTGAAGAAAGGAATTGGATCAACATATGACTCGTTTGATGCTTTCAAATACTATATTCGAGAGAAATGGTTCAAGTACTAAACTCGAGAGTTAAGCAATGATCAACCATTTCGAAGCAGCGCTGTCAATAAAACTTCCATTTGTTTAAGGAATAAAGAAGACTACACTGTTACTATGTATTTTGGTTAGCTAATATTCTTTTAGCTATCGTTGTTTTGACATCGTATCAGAACTGTTTCTGTATTCTGTTCATCTGATAATTAAAAGAATGAAAATTGAAAACGGCTTATAAAATAGCAATCAAAACGGCTACAAAGCACATTTAATTTCATGCAGAAATATGACAATCAAGCTAAATTCCTTACAAATATATTATCATTAATAATCAGAATACAAATTCCGAATTGTATCGTATCACTCTGTATCGGAAATATTTTACCTTCCTTTCATCTCAGTTCCCGCTGTTGTGATCGGTTCTTGTTTCGTGGAATTCTTTTTGTTGTGAAAGTGTGGCAGATTGATTACTGTTGATTCATAGACAAATTATTGTTGTGATTTCTTTTATTGTTGGGAATTGAAAAGTACAAAGATGAAAAAGTTAGTTAATTAGACGATAGTTGCAAGTAGAGACGTTGAAATGAATGAATGGAAAACGTGGACAGATGATATACTTGACAGTTTATATACTTAATGTGAGGCGGTCCAGGATAGTAGATAATAGGTCTAATAGGTAACCCCGAGGTCAGACAATGTCATGTTGGGGGAGGAAGAAGCGATGAGAACAAAGGGCTAAATATATTTGCTACCACAAAAGACAAAAAATAATCAAAGGATAAAGCCATTATAAGGAATCTCTTAATGATTTATAGCAACACAAAGAAATTAAATTTAACAAAGATAAATTGCGAAATGCAATTTCCTCAGCTTAACTGTCAGTGATACAAATCGCAATTGATGTGAATAATTTAATATCACAAGTTTTCGGATTTTCCGACATTTTCAAGAGATAACTTTGATTACGCCAATAATCGAATTGTAGTGAAGGTTATTTATCTGATGGAGAGATTTTATTCTTTACGTTATAGTACAATTCTTAAAAATACAGTCAATTTAGTCGATCATTTGGTTGTTCTTCCTTTTATTGGTTGATCCAGGAGGAAGATTTCTTACTGATTGTTGATATCGGTTTGAGAGAATGTTAATGGGAAGACTGAGACTGGTTGATAGAACTGGTATTTTGTGCATATCCATCTTAGCGCTCACTGATAAGCGCTAAGATGATACACACAAATAAAAATCTAAACTTACCACAACTGTGATGTTTATATCTTCTCGAGTTAGTGAACGCTTTTTTAGTAAACAATTGATCATCGACGGAGCTTGGTTAACAGATTATAATTACCAGATAATCATTGACAATATTCTTGGGATCGTACATCAAAGGAATAAGCAAGGTATCTTATTTTTTGAGATAAGGGTCAGATGTAACAATCGTTGTCGGCATGAAACAAAGAATCATAAACATGGAAATATTATATCTATTCTTGAATCAGGAATTTATGGTAAACATTTTACATTATGTTATTTTCGGGTATCCGACATCCGCTTTACCCTTCGCAGTCCTATCATTCTGAATTCAACAATTTGTAAATATGATATAATCGATTTCTCCAAAATATAAGTTTTCCCTCAATCTGTTAAATCTGGCTAACGTAAAGCAGTGAATTTGTAGAATATTTGGCAAGATAGAGTATACTTTGAATAGTATACGTTGAAATAAAGTATACTACAGATGCTTCAAACAAAAAAGAATTTGGCATCTTCTTCCAATGAAACTAAGTCATCAGCAATCCTGCACCCGGAAATCTTTTCAGTTCAACCATATGGATTGGAAGCGTTTGCAAAAACCCGAAAAAATAGCAAGCACTTTTCAAATAATAAGATGGATAGAAGCAAACAACCACTATAAGCTCGAGAAAATGAACAACGATAAAAACGCTGGCTTACATATATGTATATATACTATGAGTCCCGAAACTTTCAAGAGTCCAAAATGTATGCGTGAATAACGCAATAAAGGAGAGCTTAACATATCACGCATCATCGCGTCATCTCTTCGATTTTGCTGAGAGATGTCCAATAGATGGTTAGCGTTAAAACTGAAATCCAAAACATCTTGGCATTAGCTATCCAGCAGCATCGCGACAGTGCAGTGAGGATCAATTCCCGGCGATATATCAGAAATCAATCCCTCATAAAATAATGTGAAAATCAGTAGATCCATCAAATCTCTATATGCATCATTTATTTCCTCAAGAATGCGATAAATTTTGTTTGACAATGACAAGAATAATCACTTCTTAGTTTGTATATATAAAGTATTTCTAAACATAATAATCATAACATATTATATGCACATAGCTCTATGTGTGAGAATCAATGGGAAGGTGAATGGATCGAATGATTTTACTATAATAAATTCAGTGCATAATAAAATGAACAGTCAGAGTCACTTTGACAAGGAGGCGCGTTAGATTCACGCACGCTAAGCATATGAGCCCACTATCTTCCTCCATGGAGTGAAGAAAAGCGGGAGAAATGGTATAACGGAAATTGACATCAGAATTCTCACGGTTTTGTACAAAAAAATTGTAATCACTTACGCTTTCAGGATTGGATTTTCCCATACTCATAAGGTACAAAAAAAGCAATATAAAACTGAACTCACCTGCGGGGTTTTGCAAGAAAAAAACAGAAAGGGAGAAATCGAGAAATCAATTATTTCTTCTCGAATTTCCTACCTAGCTTATTTTCTCCACTACAACTTCCTTCATCATGTATTTCTATTTGAAAAAATGAACAAGTCAGTAATATTAGTACGGTTAAAATTTTTTCACACCTTTTTATTATACATTTATTAGAATAAGTACTTTCCTGGAAGCGTATCCGATTGTTTCACCATTTTCAATAAACAAAAACAATATCATATGACAAAATATGAAAGCGTTTGCAAAAAGTATAAGTTGCAATACTTCTCGTTGTGTGAACAATATATCATACGGAATGCTGCCTCCTTCCTTCTTTTATGAAAAAATGATACCTTCATAAATTCACAAAACTGGTTTTATTTACCTCAATTCTGATCTTAGGATGAAATGTAGTCACTCCATGTCTCGAACTATAAAAATCAAAACAAGCCTTGAATTGCAGAAAGGAAAACCCTACCCTTCAGAAAAAAAGCACAATGCTGAATAATAGTTCGAGCTCGAACTCCGAATTTCGAAAAACAATACTTAAAAAACTATGCGATAATCCAGTAGGATTTAAAAATTTACAAATGCTAAAAAAATGGACAAGAAAGATGAAACTGAGTTAGAATACCTTCTACTAAGGAAGACCAGTGTAACAGTAATCCAAATGCTTGGAAACAAGTATATGAATTAAGTATGCTTCGAATGAAAATTATGAGGGATCAGTAGGAAGTACTTCTGAATTTCCAAAAACTCTAATCGTTTGAAGGGAAACAAATCTCAGCAAAATATTACCATTTCATGAAAATATGAGAAATAAAAGAAAAAAATGACTGCGAAAAGACGAGACTAACACAGCACAAAAAGATCCCCACTCGAAGCTTAAAATCTTTTCTGTCAGTGATAGTTGCTCAATCAGAACTGGCATCATCACAATCAGTTAAACATCGCCTTCATTAGTGCTAACTGACTGTTGAGATTCTTTAAGAAGAGAAGTTGAATGTATTTCATCCGTTACGAAGTATTCTTCCCCTTCTGCATTATCGATATCACCACCTAATTCCGACAACTCATCCTGAAAGCACCGTAAAAATTAATGAAACCAGTAAGAAAACAACTACTTTGAGAATACAACCAAAGCTCTCTCAAGACGAATTTTACCCATTCATCAAATTAGAGTTATTAAAATAAAGTTTGAAAAAGATATTCAACAGCAGTTTATATTTCATAATTCGAGTTAAAAAAAGACAAACAACATTAACCTGAGGAGATGGATCGAGAATCCGAGATGATTCTTGTTCATGTTGTTCCTCTAACAATACTTGCGCCTGCTGCTTTTCCGCTGTACGTAATAGTTTACCACCATTCGGTTTTAACCAGTCATGCTGTAAACATTGTCGAGCTGTCGCACGCTCATCTTGATCAAATGCTAACATCGGGATCAGAAATGAAGCAAATTGACCAGCTGATTCGATTGGCCAGTCGTATTTCTGTGTTAACACTTCCACCAAAGACCATGGCTTTAGCTGGTGAATATGAAGCAGACGTCCATGCTGCAAAAATACAATTTTTAACAAAACATTTAAAAAATTATTAGCAACATTCCTGAAACAAAGTCAAGCAATTTGACAAATCTGTATTTCGGTCAATCAAAACTGACTAATTGTCAGACAGCCCTCATTCCTAGTATACTTCCAGTTAATCGAAAGAAACTTTCAAATTGAAAGCATTACATATATCATTCGCAAAACAAAACTGGCGGCTCTAAAAATTTTAGGAGAAAGTGCCACCTTATCAAAGAATTCACGCCAGTGAGTTCCTTTTTTGTAGACTCTTGGAGAAATAGTTCCTAGAAGCTCGATTATATGCGCTAAGTGATCTTCATCCCTGCTGTATGTATCACCGCTATGAGGTTCAAACAGATAGTCGCCTGTTGCCAATTCAAATGCCTGAAAGTCACGATTACTTAATTTTAAGTTAAAGCTTTAAATTTTAAATTAAAAATCATAATCTAAAATCATAATTAAAATAAATAATGTTATTCTCTAAACACTTTATGTATTTTCCTGTTTAAAAAAGTGGATTCAACTGTAATAAAGAAGATATTAGTTTTGCGAATATTTCTACCAATTTAAATCCACTTGTCCCTTTAATAACAACTCGAAAACTATATTTTAGAAAATTCGTAAATCAAGTCGATAAGTGCAGACCATGCAAGCAGTACTCCAGATATCAGCTGGTGGACCATAACCAGCACCTATCAGCACTTCCAAACTTCTATATTGTCGAGTTTGAATATCTTCCGTAAAATGATGATGCTAAAAAAAGTGCATCGAAATGGATGATACAAAAAAGAAGCTTACAATCGATATCAAATGTATGCAACGAACTTAATATAATTAGTGACGATATTTCATTCTATATTACCCTTATGAAGCAAAAGAACTAATTTTCATTCAGCAGAAGCAGCCAATGTTTAGTTATCACAAACAGAACAAACCGTCCAACAAGCATTTCCCAAATCAGCAAGCTTAACATTGATCTCAGTGGCCGGATTTAAGTAGTCTGGCTCCGAACGTCTCGGTGATAAACCCTCTTTTTCTAATAAAAGTTGCAAAGCTGATTCTTTAATTTCATTCTCTGAACGAGTATCTGATTCCATTCGAGGCAAAAATCGGGGTGGTCCTTCCACAACTGTAAGATATTTAAATTGCGAAATATCAAATGATAGAATGTCAAAAAAGCTCATTTTAAGACTGATCATCATTGATTCAGATCACTGACAACTTGTGAAGTATTGTAAAGTTAATGGTGCAGTGATTATCAGTCCTTGGAAAAAACACTCTAAAATTAGATTCCCTATAGAGATTTCAAGCTTTACCTATATTCATAATAAAACGTTTCTACATATTGATAAATACAGAATGAGAAACTGTTTAGTTTTTCATTCTGTATTTATAAAATAACAAAATCTGACAGCCAATGACAATGAAACTATTATAAAGAATAATTTATCTCAGTTAACTGCAAAATTACAAAAAATTTGAACGCTCACCCAGATCATTGTCACTACCAAGATTCAACAGTGGATATTCTGCTGCGTCTTCTACTTCAACAGCTTTAAGTGCAACATTTTCAATTGGTATCTAAAATGCATTTAAATCTTTGCATACTAAGTTTGAAGTAAAGAAGTAAAGAGGAAAAGTTAATTTCTACAAATATTTAGGGAGACATAATAGATGACATAATACGTATATTTTTCCCAGTAGAGAATATCATCGAAGCCACATACCTCAACTGAAGTACGATGATTCTGTCGTGCAACCGAATAAACAGAAGTGTCCTTCGTAATAAAATCATTTATTTGTACGTCTTCAGCCTTCGTTGCCACTATTTCTGATTTAAGCTTTAAAAAAACACAAATTTAAAAAGACGTTAAAAAAGTTTTTGGATTAGAAAGATGGAGAATTTTAATCATCGTATTGCGTATTTTCTGCGGATTAGAAAAATTAGATGAATGATGACACCTCTCATACCAAAGCTCTACACATAACATTATCCAAAAATTATCGCAAAAATAATTAAAAGGAAGCAAGGAAATAGTAATTTGCTGAAAATGATGTATAGCGCTAGCATCTAAATTATTAAGCAAAAGTAACGTCAAACAATAAAAAATGAATTAAATCAAGCTGATAAGCGCAAAACTGGAGTAGAATGCTGCTAAATACCATCAATGGTTTTTTAAAACCATAAAATCATTTCAATTTAGACCTTCATCAGTTTTGTGGTGTAAATTATTTGACTTGAATATAATGGTGATAAACGAAGTATGTCAAAGGTTAAGCATATCACAAGCAAACACATGCATAAAAAGTTTGCTTGTAAAGGTGAGCATTGCTTGCTGATGAAACACAGATTCAGATAAGAATTAGAAATAAGACACCAATATTACAACGATTTAGTAACATGCACCAAGGGAAAATGTAAGTTATAAGAACTAATAGTGAGAAATAATTGTACAATTACAATACAATCACAGCCTTGAAATACCCAAGCCAATGTTAACTAAAACTAACTGTTTCACCTAGCTTGTACATATCATCTAAATTACCGTTTGTGTTGTAATTATTAATACAACTCATACAATTTTAAAGTCATTTATTTTCTTATATCAGTATTAACTGTTTTACAATCAACATATATTGAATTAACATAAAGCAATTCACATAACATCCATTTCAAAAAATAAAGCAGATGTGAGTTATGACCATTCTTAAAACTGCTGGTTTGTCGTTCAATCTCACAACTCGCAACACTAAAGCAGCTTAATAGTTATTTTTTAAATGTAGTCCATGGAGAGCAGGACTGCTATTAAAATAGTTCAGTCAATGCTATTTTCTTCAATGTACTATTGCATTGGCCGTGGGCACGTGCCTCTCACAACATATTACTGTGGATAGCAGCGATCAAGTACCTGATTATATCTATATTGGTCATCAACGCTCAAATAAGTCGTATTGCAGAAAGCTGCTGCTGGCTTAGCACCCACCGAATGACTTGCATATGAACGAACAATACCATTGGTACCACCATTATCATGAGGTCGTGCACTCATACTAACATTATTTCCACCGGGCACTTTTGCAGCGGCCACGGCCGCAGAACGCAATAGTTCGGGTAATGCATATCGGTTGCTATTATTAGCATTACAACTGTTGCTATATTCTTTTCCAAGCAACTGCAATTCATGCATATTCTGCGGATTTATCGTATTTTCGCTTAGTATATCTTGGTGAAAGGAAAGTGAAATTACCTGAATTCTATAATCTACATGAAGGAAAGTGAAATTAGCTGAATTCTATAACCTACATGAAGGAAAGTGAAATTAGCTGAATTCTATAACCTACATGAAGGAAAGTGAAATTAGCTGAATTCTATAACCTACATGAAGGAAAGTGAAATTAGCTGAATTCTATAACCTACATGAAGGAAAGTGAAATTAGCTGAATTCTATAACCTACATGAAGGAAAGTAAAATTAGCTGAATTCTATAACCTACATG